TGCATTGCATTGCATTGCATTGCATGCAGGTCTAAGTGGAAACTGTTTTCTAACAACTTGTGCAGTTTGGTTTCTACCCACAGCAAACTGAGTTGTGATTGGCTTTATTGGAGTCCATGTGGACTCAATACCTTGAACATAAAGACGTCTATTTTCATCTCTGGTCTTCTCACCAACATCTGAATGGTCAAATTGGACCCATATTATACCTGAAGGTTTATCTATTTGATTCAATTGTATCTTTTTAACAACATTACCAGCACTATTAGTCATTCCATCATCAGTGCGTACATTTAATGCTATCTCAGTTCTTTCCCCCACTGACAATTGAAGGTTTGAAGCAATTTGTTTAGTTTTCCTGGGATCATCTGGTATTTGACTCAAAATTTTTTCTCGAAGTTGAGCAGATTTAGCTCCTATAACACTGTCTATTGCTTTGATTGAAAAATTTTCACCAGTTGCTGCATTATGCACTCTTTCATTGAATACATTTACCTTCTTATTTTGTATGAACAAGTGAGGCACATCCATGGGATCTTGGATGCTATTTTCTTTTATTAATCTTTCTTTTAGTTTCAAAATATCATCCTTAGTATGTTTTCCTTCCCTAAGTCTGTTTAATATTTCAGCAAACACTTTGCTCTCCCTTTGGCGCATAATTTCTTCCAATTCAAACATATTGAAGTTATCTTGCCATTTATTAGGAGCCAGAACTGCATATTCTGAATTGTCTAGATTCTTAAATATATACCTGTCCATTACAGGTTCCAGCTGAAATAAATCACCGATAACAACCATGCTTACACCACCAAAATCTTCTTTACTTCCTTTAATATCTTTCAGTCTATTATTTATTTGAACATTAAACATTGTACTACCAACCATTGAGATCTCATCCAAAAATATTAGTTTTAAACCACTAAGTTGACACCGTAAGGTGTTTAACCTGCTTGAATCAAGATGTTTGTAATTCTTTAAAGATTGACATGCAGGTATTGCAAGTGCACTATGTATTGTGTTACCTTTGATATTGTAAGCTGCTTTACCAGTTGGTGCAAGCATTAATATTTTCACTTGATGGAAATCATCACCTGCTCTAGTATTATAATACTTTAATGCTGCTTGATAAAGACACTTAGTGAGATGGGACTTGCCAACTCCTGCTCCTCCACCAAGAAAACAGTAGAATGGATTGTCAGAAGTTTTAATAAGATGTAAAACATGGAAGAAAAATTCTTTTTGTTCTCTGTTTAATTTTTGTACCATTCCTCTGTAAACATCATCCTGTTCTTCATGCAATATCAGCTGCTCAGTATTAGATGCAGCTGAAGGAATTCCAAGATCACCAGATAGGTCATAGGTTTCATTGAATTCTGGATGAAGGTCTTGTGCACCTTCATTTTCATCTTGACGCTCAATGTTTTGTGTTCCTAGGGCAATCAGGTCATAGTTTTCATCATTATCTTCCACATTATTAAGCTGGTCTTGAATCGCATTCAGATCTTCACTACACATAGCATAACATTTCATTTGCTCATCTATTGTATTTTTAACTTGAAAATAGTGTTCTTGGTAAGAAGCACAATTTCCTAATAAATCAGTTATTTCATCCCTCCATGAAGTGAATAACATGATTAGTTCACGGTAATGCTTTTCAGAATCAACTTCCTTGTTAAAACAGACACTTCGACTAATTCTGGCTTTAGATCTTTTTTTATTCTTTTGTTCGCTTTCTTCTTCCTCATTATCATCATTATCACTCAAGTTTGTCTCAAGTGGATAATTATCAATATCTAATTAACGTGATGGTTTGATATATGGCTTACCAGTGGAGTCGTACCATGTAGCCCAATTTGCAAGGGACACATTTTCAAGTTTGGCTGGTCGTTTTGTGTAACGCTTTATTAGACCAGATGCATAAATTTCATCAGAATCATCTTCGAAATCATTAATTTCTTGCAATGGTTTTAGTAACTAAACCCTATCCTCTGGGGGTGAAGTATTTATAAATACTACTTGACGAGAAGATTTCCTCATTGGAAGTTGAAGTACTATATAGACTGCTTCTTGTGCACTTATTTCAACATTGTTCAAAAACCTATTTCCAATATCTCTCACTTGTTGTTTAATACTGGAGTTTCCCCTTTTTGCTTCTTCACAAGCTGTTCTCAATAGTTCACTCATGCCTTTTTGAGCCTTGGATATATATGATACAATGTATATTGCACATGCATATACATCTAGTACAAACTGAATATCCATATTTGCACGCCATGCACTGAGACATGCAGCATTATAATTATTGATCCTTAGTTCATTTGGTCTCCTTCTTAAGAATATAGTTGGTGTCTTGAGACTAGATTGAACAGCTAGCAAATAGTTTTGTTCTGTCAGTTTAAGATTTACAAGCAACTGGTCAAATGTAATGTCCTCACCCTCTTTCATATCATTCAGGTGTTTCTTTATAAATTTCCAAGTATCTTTATGTTGATCAACTTCATTATCATCCATATCAATATCTAATGGATATAGAATTTTGGTTGATCTCATAGCATGGCTGTGCGTAATTAAAACGACAGACACTTTTGGATTTCTTTCGACAAGTGTGAGAATGGCGATGAACTTGCCTGTTTACAAGTGCAAGTAAATCTGGATTCTCAGTTGGCTTTTCACATGTGATCATCGTATCAATGAATGAAACAACATCACAATCAGAATCTTCCCCGAATGTAGGAGCATTTTCTAGCCATATTAACATGTGAATATGAGGTGATCCTCTTTGTTGATATTCAACCCTATAGAACCAGTCCGCAATTTTTCCTAGAGGCGCAGCACTACTTAAAAGAAAGTTTTGCAAAAACTTCTGTACTTGATAATCAAAATGCCTGGCACATGTCACAGGATCGCTCTGAATTAACCTACTTTTCTCTTCCCAATTGAGGTTCTCAAGTTCAGTGTCAGTGTACGTTTTGTTATCAACAAGTTTACCAAGTATTCTCAGTAAATGAATCCATTGTGTTTCCGCTGAAGAAAAACTACAAAATAATGAAGCAGATCCTAACTGCCTGATCATTGCAAATATATCCTTTTTAGCTTTTTCAAATAATGGAGGTGAACCCCTTACAGCTCTAAGAAATTTAAATCCTTGATCCTGATGAATCATGTTATCTAATGCACCTGGTTGTTTTAGTTGAACGGCAGTGATTGTGTCACTATTTCGTTGACATTTCCTCAATGCAACTTGTGACTGCCCAAGCAAAATCTTCATTTGCAATTTCTTTGTTTTAAATAAAATATTTTCCACACACATTGCAGCCCTTCGGTCAGACCTTCTTAATTCAGATTTACAAATTTCACTATAATGGATTTTGGTTAGTCTATTTGTATTGTCTGGTCGCTTCTGTCCAAGAAATATACCCGGATATGCTAATTCCTCTGAGTATTTATCTCTAAATATACTCATAGGCCTATTTCCCTCACCAGGTGCAACATTTAAAATATGCTGACGTTCATTATCAGTGACAAAATCTGGAGATGTTAACATAGTATCAGTGATTCCAGCAAGTATTTCTGCCTCGTCTTCACTCCAGTATTCATCATCATCGTCACATGCTGATGATTGCTGGGTTTTACATTCTGTATCACAATTCAAGCTTTCTGCATTACAGTCCACAACATTTTCTGAACCCTCTGAAGTTTGATCATTGTCACTATCATCAAATACGATTTGAGTATTTGAATTATCTTCAAGCCAAGTGCCATTGAAAGTTATACCTTCATCTTTATAAAGGTTACCATTATTTACAAGCCATTTGGCAGCTTCTGCTACTTTATTTGGTCTGACATTTAGTGATAAAGCTGAACTTTTGTATTGCAATCTTCTCTTTAGGTTAACTTTAATTGTGCTTGTCTCATTTGGAAACCTTGGCAACATGTTAACAGTATTAACAACATCTGCTGGAACATTAACAATGTTTCCATTGATTTTTAGTTGTCTACCTCTAGGAGCTTGCATTAATTTTTGAAATGCAAGTCTTGGAGCAAGCAATCTACACTCTAATTCATTTAGATCGAAAAACGAAGGTTTTTCTGGAAACTGCAGCCCATTTACGGCAGCACAAGGAGGCACCTTATTGTTTTTTAAATACTTATTACAGGTTTTACACAACCACTCCATATTATTAACGCTTTTTCTATTTAACAATCTTTTTTGAACATCAGGATTATTTGCTTTAAGTGTTGTGACTGGAATGACACTATGCTTGTACCATAACTGGTCACAACAAGTGCAAATATAAAGAGGACCTTGTGAGACAACATCATGAAATTTGGATATTAAACTTTGTAGTGGTTCAATCTCACAATGTTTTTGTTTCCTACATTCCTTTGCATACAGTCTTTTCTTTTGCTTAGCCTGAATGCGCAGTGTTGAGGGCTGGCAACTCTCGCTGACCTGTTTAAGTTTCCTATATTTCATTGCATACAGTCTTTTCTTTTGCTTAGCCTCAATGCTCAGTGTTGAGGGCTGGGAACTCTCACTGGCCCGTTTACGCTTCATATATTCCTTTGCGTACAGCCTTTTCTTTTGCTTAGCCTCAATGCTCAGTGTCGAGGGTTGGGAACTCTCACTGGCCTGTTTTTGTTTCCTTTATTGCTTTGCATACAGTCTTTTCTTTTGTTTAGCCTCAATGCTCAGTGTCGAGGGCTGGGAACTCTCACTGGCCTGTTTACGTTTCCTATATTCCTTTGCATAAACTCTTCTCTTTTCCTTAGCCTCAGGGCTCTGTGTCTCATTAGCTCGTTTTTGTTTCATGTATTTGTTTATATACTGTGTTCTTGTTTGATTAGGCAGAGAGCTCTGGGTTGACTGTTCGGGATATATCTCAACAAAACCCGACATTGAAGTACATGGCAATGTTGATACATAGTGATACTCATCTATATGACCCAAATAAACATGAGTTAGTTGATGTCTAGATGATACAGGTTGTATTATACTGTACTCACGAAACCCTTCATGTGTCTCTGCAACAGTAATTTTTAACTTAAGCTGATCAGCCACAGCTTGTATTATCATAGCATCGCCCCATGTTCCTTGCATAGACATATTATTAAGGTATTCTAACCAAGAGATTTCAGTATTACTTTCAATGAATCTCTCAGGATTATTTCTCATATATGCAATACCAGCCATTCTAACTTCAAAGTGTCGTTCAGGGTTACAATATAATTGATGTGACACAGCTCGAAAGAAACAGTAACCATCACCACCAACATCAAATGGTCTTAACTGAAAGCGTCTTAACCTTTGTTGTAACACTACATTTGATGACAACCTAGTTGGACTGTTGTTTTGAACAGGACCAGGATTTAATTCAATATCTCCTGACAACATTAATGCCCTTTGAGATATGTGATATTGTTCATTGGCAATATTGCCTGCTATGTTTTGACTGTAGAATATATTACACAATGATTTTTTTGCTGTCTTAATGTTTATGTTGACACATGGCTTAAAATATCCAAATGAATTGATAAAAATATGTTGTATTTGCACAAATTGAAAACAACATTGCTTGAAACTACTAGCCATCTTGTTCAAAATGGATGACTTGGGGACATTTCGTACAAAATAATGCTTTAAAAATGATCTTCTTTTCTCTTTCTCATAGCTAATATAATTCTCTTTAAAGGTAATCTGGACGGGGCACGGTCTCCAGATCGTTTAGCATTTGCTTGCTTAGTTAATTTCCGTACAGTCGATCTGCAACTACATGCACAGTAACCTGAATTTATACACTTAATATAGCTACTATGAGTGCGGTATAAATGTATAATGTTATATGTATTTGCTTGTTCTGGTCTCCGAAGAGATTGGTTCGGTCTCCGAAGAGATTGTTTTGATCTCCGAAGAGATTGTTTATTGAGTTCATTTGCTCTCCGAAGAGATTGTTTATTTGCTCTCCGAAGAGATTGTTTTGCTCTCCGAAGAGATTGTTTTGATCTCCGAAGAGATTGTTTTGTTCTCCGAAGAGATTGTTTTGATCTCCGAAGAGATTGTTTATTGAGTTCATTTGCTCTCCGAAGAGATTGTTTATTTGCTCTCCGAAGAGATTGTTTTGATCTCTGAAGAGATTGTTTTGTTCTCCGAAGAGATTGTTTTGATCTCCGAAGAGATTGACTACTTACCAGAGCAAGATGAGGATAAATTTCCATGTTGATAGTAGAATGGCGAGAAAATATAGTCAGCTTTGAAAATCCAAAATGGCGAGAATACATGAATAACACGAGGCCAGACCATGCCCGTTCGCAGGTTAGATGGAGGACACACGATGTAACATAATCGCTGATTGGCTTAAATTATATAAGCTCGTCGCTGAATATATAAGCTCGTCGCTGAATGGCTATCTGTTAACATACGGTACGGTAACAGTACGGTATATATATATGCGATAGCATATATATCTGCTTCGCAGATACAAAAAGTCCTTTCCACAGAGGAAGTGAAGCGCGCCATAGAAGGGCCTGGAAAGGACTTTGGAAAGTCTAACATTTTATAGGTAAAGATGTAACTGAAATAAAGTTGAGGAAAATGGTGCTTAATTCATACTGCTTGTTATTAAGAGGGATGATAATTCCCATAACTCAACATTGTCGACTGCATCTCTTGTGGACTGCATCTCGTATATAATTATTCACTTTTATTCAGATAAATATGTACATTGTTTTTAAAAATGGCTTATAAATAGGTAATCCCTTGGCTTGGATTTGCATAATATATTGTTTAAATATGATCGCAAACGGCTATGGCGCAACATCTTCCGCTTCGGCAAAATTCTCTGGCATTTAATTGAAAATAATATATTCATCAAATAGGCCTCAAAGGATTCTTAAATACCATTTGACAAAAGCTACTCTACCAAGTACCAGTGAGCACTGATCTTAATTCAAACTTGCTACCGCAAAGAATTTTTCGATTTCAAATAATTATCTTGTGGTTTCTGTAAAAGAGGTTTGTATATTTTTTTTCTGCTGACTTTTATCTTTGGTTTAAGCCTATGGTAACCTGGGTTTCTTTGAATCGGCGGAGAGCGGCACATTCACTCGCTCAGTTTTTACTTTAATAGTAAAATATGATTTGCTCTATAAGTAACGAATGCATGGGGTTCACAGACACAATATTAACACTAGGAGTATAAGCATAGGCTATACAAGTAGTAGGCGCACGTTACTCAAAATTTTGGATTAAAACAACGTTTTAATTTAAAATATAAACAATTCCTTATCACTTCCTTTGTAACTCGTTTATTAATTGTTGGATTGCAAGAGCTCCTAATTGGGCATGACAATTTTCTGTTCTGAAAAGCTGATGTTACGAAATAAACAGTTGTAGCTACCATCACCGACAATGTTTACTGGCTTTCGTCCCATTCAAGCTAGTCTTGTTGTAAATACTACATATTTGAAGTATTTATGGGTTTACCTGGGTTTAACTCTACATTACCAGATACATGCAAATACATCTTTTCGATATCTTGTGGAAAGCAAATTTATGAAAGCAAGGTGATTTAAGAATACACTGCCCAATAAATCGTTTTATTAATCCCTACTTTTTTATATTTTTGCTCATCAAATGAACTAACTTTTTAACGGGAGGCTATAGACCGCTTTCGATCTCGGCTTTTGCCGTGTTAAATGTTAGAAATGTTTACTGCGTGATCTACTTCGACTAATATTATTATGTAATGTGGACGTGTATAGATGGCAAGGGTAATACTTTTTTCACTATACTTCATAACATAAACAATAATTAAGCAATAATATTGCAGCATATAGAAGTCTAACTTCTAGTTGTGTTGTAAAAATGATGTTGTAGAGGAGGAACGTGAGTAAATAGACTCTGCATGTAAATGAGTACCTGCATGCAATGCAATGCAATGTAAGGAACTTGCGCTGAATAAATTAAATTTTGTAAAATACCCCAGAACACATTACAGGGATATAGCATATATATAGGATTCGCCTTTGATATATTATTTGTTCTTCTAAATACATACATACGGTGTAAGATATGTTGTCTGTTAAATGACTATACTTTGACATTGTCTACTTATGTGTTTAATACTTACATACCATTGTTTTAATATGACCACATAATTATAATACTGCATGCTATATCTTCCGTTTCAGCAACATGTGATATACTTTGACCTCTGGTGTTGGTCAGCAAAAAGTATATACCAAAAGGTTCGGCAAGATTTCTTTAATATCATTTGGTCAAAACTGTTCTCTCGGCAAAGCTAACGTTAATCGACCATATAGGAACATTTTCCAACCTGTGATTATAATTATTTCGTGGTTTACTTGAAAGATAGGTTTGTATTCCCTAGTTATATATAGGTTTGTATTCCCTAGTTAACGGTATTAATCTAGGTTTCTTAGAAAAAAAGCTCACGAGTATATCATGCATGTTAAATGACTCAGTAATTCAGTTAATTAATAGACAATATATTGAATAAACTATAATTCTATTATATATGTAGCCTACATTAATACATGCATCGAGGTGCATACTGTTTCATAACTCAGTCAGCGCGGCTATTTGCAAAACATATTAAAAAGAATTATTGTAGATTATAATATAAGTAGGATATAACAGACAATTTCATTGGCTAATGCGCGTGCATTGTGACGCAACAATGAAATGTGTTCTGCGAATCTGTGGGCTGTGGCAGTCTCTTCATCTCTTACTCTTTCTGTGTTTTTTCGTGGCTTCAATCTCTGCTTTATAGCCAAAAATATAAACGAAACTATAGAGCATTTAAAATACAAAATTTATCAGAAAGCAAGAAGGAATAGACCAAAGGAACAAAGCAATATTATCTATAGTTTTACGTGTAAAAACAGTATAAAAATTAACCGGCTTAGCATTCGTCGAATCAGTGCAAAATAGTCGAGAAAAAACTTGAAAAAGATACAGGAATACCAAAAACATTGAAAAAACTGAACATAAGTGATTTAAAAAGTACCTTCAATGCTTCTGATAAAAACTGCTAGATAAATTTTCGGCGAAAGGCAAAAAATACAATAATTTCGAAAATTAAAACTTAGCAACACGACGAAACCTACGATTTAACGTTAGGAAGTCAAACCATTAGGAAGTCAAAACATTAGGAAGTCAGTCTGTGTATCACTGGGCGTTTTCTCCAGCATTTTAAACAGTTTCTCCGCAACTTTAATTAGCAACAAAACTTTCTCAAAATTGTTTTGTATTGTTTTTGTTCCTTCGCTCGCTTGAAAATTCAACTATTCAAGCGACAGTAAAAGCACAGAGGAAGTATATACAGAGAGTTCACTCAAGGTGGAGGTCTACCTAAACTTGCAATATTCCGGTTGACCACATTTGCAAGCCTATTACTCGCCAAGTTTTTTAGATAGCTATACAAAACTATATATCATGCATTAGATCTAGAAAGCCTATATAACATAGATTCTAAAAATACTAAGTTATTACTCATACTTTTAATATTTATCCTGCCATCTAGTAATTAAACACAG